CTGGGGGAGAAGAGAGAATGAGGGAGAAAGAGAGGAAGATGCCCAGGGCCAGCCAGCCAGGCAGCCACCAGACAGACAGACATGGAAGAAGCAGGAAAAGTTGGACATATAGAATGAAAGATAAAAAGCCCTGAGGCAAAACATAGATGAAGAGAAACAGGTTAAATTAAGCTATATGAGCTAGTGGGACAAGCATACGATAAGGTTGAGCATTCATAACTAATAATTAGTCTCTGTGTCATGATTTGGGGGGACGGCAATCTGAGAAAGACTGTTAAACTCCCTGACACTTGGGCAGATTCACCACATGTACTCATTAAGATCAGTAACTGTGTGTATCCTTTTCAGGGGGTATGATGGTTGGATTTTTGTTTTGTTTTGTTTTTTGATTTTGAGACAGGATTTCTCTGTGTAGTCCTGGCTGCCCTAGAACTTGCTCTATAGACCAGGCTGACCTTGAACTTACAGAGATCCACCTGCCTTTACCTCCCAAGTGCTGGTATTAATCACTTGAAAACAGAGTCTGAGTTGGAGACTCTCTAGGTCAGGTTGGCCTGTGGGAATGTCTTTGGGAGATTATGTTGACTGTTAATTGAGGTAGGAAGACCCACCCTGAATACAAGTGCCACCATGGCTTGGCATCATAGCTTGGCTCTGGATGGTGTAAGAGTAGAAAAAAAGCTAGCTAGGCAGAACGAGCAAGCAAAGACTTAAGATATTTAAGATTAAGCATTTCTCTCTCTGATTTTTTCCCCCGGAGCTGAGGATCGAACCTAGGGCCTTGCACTTGCTAGGCAAGCGCTCTACCACTGAGCTAAATCCCCAACCCCTCTCTCTCTCATCTTGACCATGGATGTGAAGCTTTTAATTTCTGCCTTGACTTCCCTGCAGTGATGGACTGTAACCTGGAACTGGAGTCAAATAATCCTTTTCTTCCCTGTGTTGCTTTTTGCCAGGTATTCTAGCACAGCAACAGACTTAAAACTAGAACAGGGGAACCAGATAACAAAGCCATACTCCAAAGAGGACCGTGGTGTGGCATGCTCACATGCCTTCTATTCAGAAGGTGTATGTTTCTGTAAGGTAAGTTGTGTTGCCTCCTCAGTCATCGCAGTTATCCAGCGTCTTCTTTCATGGTTTTCTTGGCCCATCTAATTGACCCTTTGTCGACTGTGTTGCTCCTTCTGAAGAACCACTGTTTCATTCCATTGATTTCTGCTCAGCTTATTATCATGTCCTTCTTTCTTGCTTTGGGTTGAGTTTCTTCTTCTGGTGCAGTTTCTTAGGGTGGGAAGCTAAGTTTAGCGAAGGGACAGCGCTCTTCTCTGTTATGGGCCTTTTCGTCTGTGCACTTCCCTCCAAATACTCCTTTAGGTCTGGCAGGATGCTTTCTGTCACATAACTTCCCTGGCTCCTTCTCCTTCACTTTATTCCAGATCATACAAATTATACTCTGCAGCAGCATTTCTTAGGGCATTTTCATTTTGGATTGTATTTTGAAACTCATAGATTAGATTTTTCTCCCTAGAACTGGTCCTTGCTTTTCTTCATTTCCAGCCTGTCTTTGCTTTCTTTTATTATTTCTTTACTTTTGATGTTCCCATGCTCTATTTTTGCCCCTGTTGGAGTAATATGAATTTTTTTGAGACAGGATGAAGAAATAACAATGAAGAATAAGCAGGAATTAAGAGGCAGTCAGTCACTGAAAGGAAAAATGAGAAAGAGAGAAAGTTAGGGACTTATTAGAGATTGACAGTATTCTATAGGAAATAATAATCAAGCACTATAAAGTAGCTGTCATTTTTAGTCCTTTCTGAGAAAATAAAGAATAAGCAACTTCTCTAGAATTTTTCTTGCATGTTCATAAAAACAAATCATGACAAAACAGTCTGACTGACTCCTAGAGACTGACTCACTCAGGGAAACAGGATCAGAGGGATTTTAGTCAGGTGGGTCTGTAGTACCAGAATCTATTGTGGTGAAAACAGGAGTTATTTGTTTCTCATCTGAGATTACCCATGCAAATGAATAGAATAGGACTTCTTAAATGTACAGTTCAAAAGAAAAAGAGAGGGGGTTGGGGGTTTAGCTCAGTGGTAGAGTGCTTGCCTAGCAAGCACAAGGCCCTCGGTTTGGTCCTCAGCTCTGGAAAAAAAAAAGAAAAAAGAAAAAGAAAGAAAGAAAGAAAGAAAGAAAGAAAGAAAGAAAGAAAGAAAGAAAGAAAGAAAAAGAGAGACTAAAAACTTTTACATTTTAAATTGTAGAACAGCTATTGAAGCCAGGTTGTGGCACACATGCAAAACCAGCACTTGAGAGGCAGAGGCTGGAAGATCAGGAGTTCAAGGTATCCTTGGCTATACAGAGCATTAGAGACTAGCCTTGGCTACATGAGATCCAGTCTCAAACAAAACTCTGAACACTCTTGGGCTCATTTGGCTAAGAGAAGCCATTGAACAGCTTCCTAAGATTCCCAGCTCAACACAGTGATGATAAATTGTCAACCTGCTAAGTCTACCAAGGGCTTTCAAAGCTGACTAACACCCTAGGATCTGCAGAAAAAAAGAAAGATTACCGGCGACTGGGCTATAACTGAGCTCAAAAGGGACACTGAAGTCTATCCAGAGTGAATGTGTGCAGGTAGGCACCCACAGCTAGACAGAGTGAAATGTGTGCAGGTAGGCACCCACAGCTAGGTCTGCCCATTAGGCCAACATGGAAAACAGTAGTGCTGCAGCACAGTCACAGGGATTTAGTTTGCTGTTTTGAAATTTCCTGGAATTCTTACACATGGGGTAATATGAGCTTCCAGTTGAAATGGGAACAGACTCTATAGTTTTGGGGAAAGTATGAGAAAAATGTTCATGAATCAGTAAGGAAAAGGAGCAAATTCCTTCTTAGTTTTAGGCATATTAAGTAACACATTCAGAGCAGGGTGAAAAGATGGCTCAGTGGGTAAAAGGATTTGCTGTGCAAGCATTAGGACCTGGGTGTTAATCCCCAGCACTCATGCAAAAAACGGGCATGGCCACACATGCTTGTAACTCCAGCATTGGAAGAGAGAAAGAGCATCCCAACATTTTAATGGCTGGCCAGCCTGGCTGAAATGAAAGCTCTAGGTTCTGTGACCCTGTCTGAAGGGAATAAGGTGGCTAGTAATAGAGTAAGACACCTGACATCCTTTTGTGGCCTCTGTATGCAAGTGCACGGGTACACATATCTGCATGTACTACACACATCGGCATATACTACACACACACATGCACCCGCACAGGACAAAGCAGAGAATGGGGGATGTGGAAACATTTTAATGCTGTGGGGTAATGCTTTTGTACATTGGTTTAATAAAATGCTGATTGGTCAGTAGCCAGGCAGGAAGTATAGGCAGGATAAGCAGACAAGGAGAATTCTGGGAAGAGGAAGGCTGAGTGAAGAGACACCAGCCCACCGTCCAGGGAGCACCATGTAATAGCACACAGGTAAAGACACGGAACATGTGGAGACATATAGATTAACAGAAATGGACTGAGTTTAAGTGTAAGAGCTAGTCAGTAGAAAGCCTGAGCTAATGGCCGAGGAGTTTTAATTAATATAAGCCTCTGTGTGTTTACTTGGGTCTGAGCAGCTGTGGACTGGGCAGGACACAGGAAAACTTCAGCTACATTTTACTACAAAAGGACAGGTTTGAATACTGGATCATAGCAGAGAAGAATGCTAGAAGGAAGATAACGAGAGAGAGAGAGAGAGAGACAGAGACAGAGAGACAGAGACAGAGAGAGAGAGAGAGAGAGAGAGAGAGAGAGAGAGAGGACTGGAAGAGTGGTCTGTTTGTAGTCCAAGGAACCAAAAAAGCCAGAGCACCATATCTAAGCACCAAAGTATTACAGTAAAATGCAAATAAAACAAAGAAACAACTGAGATTTCCAGACCAGTTAAATATGCCAATGATTTTAAATTACATGGTTTTTACCTTATCCAGCATCACTGTCACTGATTCATCTTCTCATATTCCTGAGAGAAAGCCATTTTCTTTGAGCTCAGGAACTGTCAAAGTCAGTTCTAATGGTATCCAAGGTCTGATAATCTTCATGAATGCTGTTCTGTGCACTGCAAGACCCTTAGCACCATCCCTGATCCTGAATCACTAAATGTTACTTATGTTCTCCTTCCCTAATAGTTGAAATACCCAAAAATGTCTACAGAGTTTCCTGAAAATCCCCAGTCCAGGTACCAGGAGAAGAAATGGAGCGATGGGAAGAAGGTGTCAAAACTGTTCCTAATTGAGAACCACTACATTAGCTATACTATTTTTGAATAGTAATTGTTTCAAAGTAATAATTACTGGACATCATTAAATTCACAGTGTTTTGTTTGAGATGGGATCTCTCTCTGCAGCCTTGGCTGTCCTGGACCTCGCTCTGTCGCTCTGTAGACCAGACTGGCCTTGAACTCACAGAGATCCACCAGCCTCTGCCTCCAGAATGTTGGGATTAAAGGTATATGTCACCACACCCTGCAAAACTAAGTAATACTATTTAATAAAACTACTATAATGTAAGTTTCTTATTTCTCTAATATGTGACTCATCTTAACTAGTTAAGACTATAACATAACACACACATAAATATTATTTTTGCCCCAATTCAGGTATATTGCAATCTGATAAGTTAAATGTGATTTAATAATAATAAAATAATATTTCTGTTTAATATTATAACTCATGTAAAGTCATCAAACAGAGGAAAATTTGTACATATTGAATATATACATACAAAATAATTTCTAGCTAAGATAAATTTCACTGGTTATAGAATTTATATGTAAGTAATAAAATATCACTAATATTGGATGGAAGAAATGATCATAAAAACATTTTTACATATATTCAAAAAGTAAAAGCAGCGAGTTTCACATCACTGTACCATGGAGACTGCCTGATGTGTCCTATTTGGTATAACATAGTTCCTTTTGCTATACAAATGACTACCAGATCTTTCTTTTACCTGATTTATCTGTAGAATCTTCAAATTCCACGAGGAAAGAGTACCCATTATTCCAGATGTGGAGGCAGGTGGCCGGGTCGTAAGAGAGAGTGAGTGGTTTTAAGCCAGGGTCATAAACACTGTCCCTCCATCGGATGTTGATGGGTGACTGCCGATCACCCGCAGGAACAAGGTCCAAGTTCTCCCAGAGTGGAGGTACTAGGAGAGAGCAAGTCCAGGCAGTTAGCAAAAACAACCACTATATAGCACCACATGCAAGACCATCCCATTTGGGAAGAAGCCAAAGAAGCAAAGGCAGCTCACAGTCTCAGAAATTAGCTATCTGGGGCCTTAATCAACTATGTAAAGCAGATCAGGGCAGGCCAGAGAGCACCTTGCAGGGGAGTCTTCATCTGTCATCTCATAAAACCAACCCATCTCAGCCTGCCTGCTAATGTGCCCTGAAGTCAGTGCCATCAGTTCTGTGGAATCAGCAAAATAAATGGGGATTAGAGTGTGGAACCAGTTTTCACAAACGCCGCTCTTGGTTTCGTTGCGATTTCTTGAACTCTGACCACCTCAACTGGTTTCAAACACAAAGTCAAGTGAACTTTCAATAACAGACTTTATCTCAACAAGGGAAATAGGGTTGGGACTGTTGGAAAAGAAACTTGAATTCAATATTGTCAGTTTTCAGTTGGTTGGCCAGTATAGCCTGCCTCCTAGAAAATTATTGTGCCACACAAGTGTGCATGCCAGGTTCACCTCTACAAACAACTGTGAGGACTAGGCAGCCACCTACCCTATAAGGCCTGGATAGACACCAGCATTGCTGAGATCCTTCAAGTCCACAGTTTGTCAAAAGAATGTGGACACAATCTCTTAAGGCATACCATACAGTTTGTCCAAAACAGGCACTCACTATATGGCTTGTGCTGCTCCTTCCTTCATAGAGGCAAGCCCAGGTCTTTGCCGCAATAACTATCAGCAGACTTTCTGATGGTAACACAGACAGAACTGTTAAGCCACCCAGAAATGATGAACAGAACCCACACCTATCAATTTTGGGTGGTCTGCCTTGTCAAACTGGACAGCTGCATGTAAAAGAATCCAAACTGATACAAATTTATCACTCTGCACAAAATTCAACTCCAAATGTATCAAAGACCTCAGCATAAAACCAGATATAGTGAACTGGATAGAATAGAAAGTGGGGAATGGCCTTGAATGCATAGGCACAGGAGAAAACTTTCTGAACAAAACACCATTAGCACATGCACTAAGATCAACAATTAATAAATGGGACCTCATGAAACTGAAAAGCTTCCGCACAACAAAGGACACCATCATTCAGACAAAGCAACAGCCTACAGAGTGGAAGAAGATTTTTTTTACCAACTATACATCTGATAGAGGACTAATATTCAAAATATATAAAGAATTCAAGAAACTAGACATCAAGAAAACAAATAATCTAATTAAAAATGGGGTACAGATCTAAACAGAGAATTCTCGATGGCAGAAACTCAAATGGTTGAGAAACACTTAATGTTCAACATCCTTAGCCATCAGGGAAATGCAAATCAAAAGGATTTTCATCTAACACCCATCACAATGGCTAAGATTAATAACACAAGTAACAGCTCATGCTGTCCAGGATATGAAGTAAGGGGAACACTCCTCCATTGCTGGTGGGAGTACAAACTTGTACAGCCACTATGGAAATCAGCGTGGTGGTTCCTCAGGAAGATGGGAATTGATCTACCTCAAGACCCAGCTGTACCCAAAGATGCTTCATCCTACCCCAGAAACACTTGCTGCTCTATTCATAATATCCAGACACTGGAAACAATCTAGATGACCCTAAACAGAAGAATGGATAAAGAAAATGTGGCACATTTACACAATGGAGTGTTATTCAACTGTTACGAAAAGAAATCATGAAATTTGCAGATAAATGGATGGAACTAGAAAAAAATTATCTGAGTGAAGTAATCCAGACTCAGAAAGACAAAAAATGGTATGTATTTGCTTATATGTGGATATTAGCTATTAAGTCAATGATAACCAGCTGGGTGGTGGCGCACGCCTTTAATCCCAGCACTGGGAGGCAGAGGAAGGCGGATCTCTGTGAGTTCGAGGCCAGCCTGGGCTACCAAGTGAGTTCCAGGAAAGGCACAAAGCTACACAGGGAAACCTTGTCTCGAAAAACCAAAAAAAAAAAAAAAAAAGTCAATGATAACCAAGCTACAATCCATGGAATCACAGAATAACAGACTGGGAGGGGGCAGATCTCCCTAGGAAAGGGAAACAGTATAGATAGTTGTGGATGAATGGGGGTGACTGGAACAGGAGGATCAAGTGGGGAGGAGAAGGGAAAAAAGAGATGGGGGAATATGGGGAGAAATAGATAAAATTAAGGACCATCTGAAGGATAGTATGGAAACTGAATACAGTAGACGCTTCCTAAAATATATATACATATGATGGTGATCTAAATGAAATTATCATAAATCGGGGAGGGGGGGGACAGAGCCCCAACTGAACATCTCCTGTTACCAAATGAAGTTTCCAGTACTGGGAATGGGTTACACCTAATTGAGTTGTTGGTTAAGGGGTCTCATGGGAGCCCCCAAACAACCAAGGCTGTTGCTGAGACTATTAGTTTATGCTCTCCACAAACTGATGGTAAGGCCCTATTTCTGAAGACAATACCTACACAACTCATTGAACATAGAGAAACTGAGCTGGTGTCTAGAATCTTCACCCCTATGTTCTAGCATCTTTGCTACTCTACATGTTACCAAAAGAGAGACCTAAACACCAGCCCAGCCACGAAACCTTTGATCTACAATGGTGGCCTGCCTGCAAGATATGCTGGTGCAATGGTGGCATAAAGCTTGTGGGAATAACCAAGCAATATCTGACTTGAGTTAAGGCGCACTCCACGAGATGAAATTCATACCTGATGATCCTTGGGTGAACAAGAACCCAAGAATAGACAGCCCAGGGACCTAGCCTAAAACCAAATACTACTGTTCTACTGAAAGAACAAAGCAATAAAATGACTTCTAATGACATTCCGCTCTACTCATAGATCATTGCCTTGCTCAGCCATCATCAGAGAAGCTTCCTCCTGCAGCAGATGAGAACAAATACAGAGACCAACAGTCAGACAACATGCAGAGTGAGAGACCTTGGAACATTCATCCTGAAATGGGATGTGTTCATCAAATCCCTCCCCTCAGTGCTCAAGGAACCCTGTGGAAAAGGAGGTGGAAAGAACCAGAGAGGATAGAGGACACCAAGGAAACAAGGCCTGATGAATCAACATGATCAAAGCTCATTATGAACTCAGAGACTGAAGCAGATGCTCAGGGCCTGCACAGGTCTGCACCAGATGGGGTCGGTCCTAGAGCTGAAAGGAAAAGTGGACACATGCCCCTATCCCTAACGCAGCAGTATCTCCAATTAATAACCACTTGCAAATGAAAATTTAGTTTTCTCCAAGGGAAACAAACTATTCTTAAGGGTAGACTGCATGCCCAATAGTACACGGCCAACAGAAAACAAACAGCATCTTTGAAGGTTCTATGTCTCATAATGCTGTGACAGGGCTTTTTTTGTTTGGTTGGTTGGTTTGGTTTGGTTTGGTTTGGTTTGGTTTTTGTTTTTCAAGATAGGGTTTCTCTGTGTAGCCTTGGCTGTCCTGGAACTCGATCTGTAGACCAGGCTGGCTTGGAACACCTGCCTCTACCTCTCGAGTGCTGAGGTTAAAGGCATGTGCCACTACTGCTGGCCTTAATTTTTATGATATAAATTTTTTAATTTTTTCTCCCTTTTTACCCTATAGGTCTTTTGTCTATATATCATGGCTTACAGTTTAGTGTTTTTATGGGATTCCTGGGTGTGTGAACAAGTGGAGCTCTGCATCTCTATCTGTTTCTTGTGCCTTTTCTTGGGCTCTTTCCCTTCTGTTTGTTTGTTTTGTCCTAATCCAACATGTTGGTGTTTCTTTTATCTATATATTATATTATATTATATTATATTATATTATATTATATTATATTATATTATATATATTATATTATATTATATGTTATTCCTTAGAAGCCTATTTGTTTTCTAGCCTACATAGGTCTACGTAGTGAGTTCCAGGACAGACAGTGATATATAGGGAGACCCTCAAAAATAATAATGATAATAATAATAATAATAAATAAAAAATGCTGGGCATGGTGGCATACACCTTTAATCCCAGCACTTGGGAGGCAGATGCAGTCAGATCTCTGGGTTCAAGGCCAGCCTGGTCTATGTAGTGAGTTCCAGGATCGCCAGGGCTATATAGAGAGACCCTGACTAAAACATAAAATAATAATAATAATAATAATAGAAGCCTGTTTATTTTCTAATGAGAGATAGAAAGGGGTGGATCTGGATGGAGGGGAGGTAGAGAGGAACTGGGAGGAGCAGAGGAAAGATACATAAACAGCAATCAGAATATATTATATAAAGAAACTATTTTCTGGCCGGGCGGTGGTGGCGCACGCCTTTAATCCCAGCACTCGGGAGGCAGAGCCAGGCGGATCTCTGTGAGTTCGAGGCCAGCCTGGACTACCAAGTGAGTTCCAGGAAAGGCGCAAAGCTACACAGAGAAACCCTGTCTCAAAAAAAAAACCAAAAAAAAAAAAAAAAAAAGAAACTATTTTCTTTTGTTTGTTTTTTTTTTGTTTTTGTTTTTTGAGACAGGGTTTCTCTGTGTAGTTCTGACTGTCCTGGAACTCACTCTGTAGACAAGGCTGGCTTCAAACTCACATAGATCCACCTGACTCTGCTTCCCAAGTGTTGGGTTAAAAGCACGTGCCACTACCACCTGGCAAAAAGAAATTCTATTTTCTCTGCTCTTTGCAGCAGGCTGCATTGGGTGAGCTAGCCTGGGCAGTGCTGGAGAGCTCACCCTGGTGGTGATGATAAGGGAAACCTGGCAGGCTGATCAGCCCAGCTACCACCCAGGCCCAGAACCAGGGCTGAGTTGGCCCATCCCAACACCCACCTCATCTATGAACTGTTGGAGTATGTGAAGGGGATGAACCTACAGATCCAAAACAGCAGGATCTCCATGACACAGGACAACAACAGGATATCCACGAGAAGCCCCAGTGAGAGCTCATTAAAGGTGGCATAGCAGAAGCCAGAGATCTTGAGCCAGATCAATGACT